AGCTGTCCTCCATCCCTCGAGCAGCTGAGCCACAACTCGCAGAGATCTCATCCCCAGCCTCGCAGCCACGTCCTCCACCCGAGTGAGATCTGGTCCGGCGACGTCCACCAGCCGGCGGAGGGTTGTGACTCCCGATGACAACAAGACTCTAGTCAGTGCAGGGGTGATCGTGCCCGCCAAGTCCAGTCGTGTGCCGTTGAAAAGAGGCTCCTCCAACAGCCAGTGCAAAGCGGAGCCAGCCTGTTTGTTTACATTAAAAAAGTCCCAGATTTTAAAAAGTCCTCGATAAAAAACAGGCAACCCAGCAATGTCCAGTGTTTTTGTGCTCATTAAAAACAATGCTCTGTCCAACCCCAGACCACCTACTGTGCGTAATATCGTGCATGATACCGCCCTCCAAACCAGCTCACTGGGACCAGCAAGAAGTCTCTGGATGAACTGGATTCGGAAGGCAGCGGCCCTGCTAGCCAAGTGAACGAGTCCTTGCCCCCCTTCCTCTTTTGGCAGATGTAGAAGTCCCTGCGGAATCCAGTGCAGTCGATCCCAGAAGAAGTCCACTAGCACGGCTTGCAGGTTTGCCAGCAGATTCGGTGGGGGGTCCACACAGGCCAGTTTATGCCAGAGCAATGATGCAGCGAGGTTGTTGATAACAAGCACCCTTCCCCGATAGGACATCTGGGGGACTAACCATTTCCACTTACTGAGGCGTCCTTTAATCTTTTCCACCATGCCATCCCAGTTCTGTGCACTACAGATACTGTCCCCCAGATACACCCCCAGATATTTAAAACCACCCCTTCTCCACATCAACCCATCTGGAAGCGCGGGTTCCCCACCATCCCAATCACCAACTAAAACTGCTTCACTTTTGCCCAGTTTACTTTTGCAGATGATAAAACCCTAAAATCATTTAAAATTCCAGCTAAAACATCCACATCAGTCTGGGTACTTGCTATCACAACAAGGTCGTCTGCATACGCTGAGACACACAGTGGAGTAGAACAGCCAGGTATAAACAAACCGGAGATGCAGTCTCTCAGTTTGCACAACAGAGGTTCAATAGCTAGAGAGTACAGCATGCCAGACAGAGCACAGCCCTGCCTAATACCTCTGTGCACTTTAAAAGGAGCACATAAACCACCATTAACTTTGAGTACACTCTCAATGTCACTGTACAAAACCTTGATCATGGCTATAAAACCTGGGTTGAAACCAAAGTTCTCCAGAACTTTCCACAGATAGCCATGTTCAACCCGGTCAAATGCCTTTTCCTGATCCAAAAAAATAAGACCAGTCTTTAAGACCAATAGTCTGGAGACTTCCAAAACATCACGGATTAGATATACATTGTCAAAAATTGACCTTCCAGGCACACAGTACGTCTGGTCAAGGTGAACCACCTGCTCCATCACCTTCCCCAGTCTCGAGGCTAACGTTTTTGAGAGCAGCTTGCAGTCAGTGCACAACAGAGAGACGGGGCGCCAGTTCTTTAGTTCAGCTAGGTCCCCCTTCTTGGGTAGCAGGGTTAGAACGGCCCTCCGACAGCTCAGCGGAAGCTTCCCTTCCCTTATGCTGTTCTGGAGGACATCCAGCACATCCTGCCCCAACACTGACCAAAACGCTTTATAAAATTCAACAGGGAGACCATCAATACCTGGCACCCGACCATTCTCCATGCCCTGGAGAGCCTCATACAGCTCTCCCAGAGAGATATCTGCATCCAGCACTGCAGCAGACTCTCGCGTGAGCTGGCTGAGGTCACGGAAGAATCCCTCCTCCACCTCTCGTGCCTCTGCCCACTCGCTCTCGTACAGCTTTGAGAAAAAGCTGATTGTCTGCTGGCGAATTTCAGAAGGCTCAGATAAGAGATCCCCTGATTCTGTACGCACAGCATGCATAAACCTTTTCTGTCCATTCCTGCGCTCGAGACCGAAGAAGAACTTTGAAGGAGCATCCATTTCCGACACGCGCTGGAAACGTGAGCGGACCAGCGCCCCCTGTGCTGTTATGCCTAAAAGGTCAGCCAATGCAGTCTTTTTAGTTTTCAGAGCTTCAATATGCCCCCGATTTCCTGTGGCCTCTGCTAAACCCTGGAGCGCCACTATTTCAGTCTCCAGAGCTTTGAGAGATCTGGCTATGTCCCTTGTGACATTGAGAGTGTACTGCTGACAGAATACTTTAATTTGTATTTTAGCTATGTCCCCACCACTGCTGCAGGGAGCTAAAAGATGTTTCATTGAGCTAAAAACATCCCAAAAAAAAGTAAAAGACTCTCTAAAATTGGCATCCTCTAAAAGCGCAGTGTTAAAATGCCAGTATGCACTCTGTGGCTTAACGTTACGCTTCCTTACTGTGCACTGGACCATACAATGGTCTGAAAAACCAACTGGGGAGATAAGACAGCGTGTAAAAGCAGAAAGTTGATACCTAAAACCATAAAATCGATCCAGCCTTGCCAATGAGAGTGTGTTATCTCTTGAATGTGCCCAGGTATACTGTCTCTGCCCTCCATGGAAGTTCCTCCAGACATCACACAAGTCATGGGCCTCCAGCATCCCACACAATCTCTTACGGGACGCAGCATGCGGTTCCATATGGTTCCTGTCCATGCTGTCTGCTGTACAGTTAAAATCCCCTCCCAGTATTAAAAACTCATCAGGACCACAAACTGCAATTACAGTGTCCAGAGTATCCAAAAAGGACATCCTGTCCATCCCCCCAGTTGGGGCATAAACACAAATAAAAACAAAAACAGTGTTCTCAAAACACGCTGTCACTTTTAAAAGTGTGCCATTTAAAACTTCATCCACTGAATAAGAACAAGGAGTAAAACTCTGTGATAAAAGAACAGCCACCCCACCACTAAAAGAAGAGTTATGACTTAAAAAGGCAAGCCCCTCCCACTCTTTAGCCCAGTCTGCAGTGTTACTGACGTCACTATGCGTTTCCTGTACAAATATAACATCAAGTCTCTTCTGTTTCACCAACTCATATAGCTTTGCCCTTTTACCACAGTCTCTCGCCCCATTAATGTTCAGACTCGCCACTCTGACATCACCCATTAAAAATAAAATAGATAAAAAACACTAAAAACAGAGGTCATTCTGAACCAGGGAGGGCAGGAAGTATCAGACCTCATCCTCAGTGCTCACTTTATTCAGTCTGGTCAGAATCTTCTTCAGCCTGTAGACTTCTAAAGCGGTGAAGGACCCTTCCCTCCTAAAATGCCTGACATCATGAATGAACTGTGAACTGTTTGGGAAATGCTCCTCAACACGGACTCCCTTTTGGCCTTTAGTGACCGCAAGAACTTTCTTATATCGTCAACTTTATAGAGCACAGCCATGTTCTCTTCCTGCGAGCACACCGACCAGCCCGAGTCAGACAGAGAGCCTTCGCTCTCAGACTCCACCTCATTCACCGCACTGCTGTCTGTTTTGGCCTGTTTAGTGCCCTTCCTCGGTTCCGCTTCTTTCTTTATTAGGAACTTTAAAAAACAGTCTCCGCTTCCATTTCCACCTCCACTGTAGCCTCCACTGCTGTACCAGCTAGACTGATCTCAGTACCGCTGTCCCTTACCTGGTTATCTGCTCCCCCGGGTCAGGAATCCCCCGCTCCTGCTCCTCACCACCAGGCTCGTCCACAGCGGGCTCCTCCGCGGTTAGCGCCGCCGGGAAAGGCTCGTCCGCGGTCGGCGCAACCCCAGCAGACATTTCCGAGGCTGGCACGGCCGCAGCCGGCTCTTCCCCCGCAGGCGCCGCAGCCGCCGGGTCCCGCGCAGCCGGCCGAGCAGCAGCCGCAGGGGGGACGGCCACCGCGGGCTCAGCCGCGGCAGGCCCCGGCCGCTCCGCGCTCCCGGCATCATTCGCGTTAGCACCGAGTTTTTCAGGGCAGGCTCGGACGAGATGTCCGGTCTGGCCGCACCTGAAGCACTTCATGTTGGTGTCAGACGACACAAACACCGTGTACTCGAACCCCTCCACTCTGAACTTCAGCACCAGGTCCAGCTCGTCCTCACCGTCTCTCAGCACCATGAAAACCAACCTCCTGAACGACACCAGGTGCTTCACCAGGGGCGATTTACAGCCGAGGGGGATCTTTTTAATGGGGGAGACAAGTTTCCCAAACCGGGACAGCTCCTGAGCGATCAGCTCGTCAGAGATAAACGGGGGGACGTTGGACAGAATGATCTTTTTGGAGGGAGTACTGAGGGGCAGAACAGACACGAACTGATCATTAATCACGAGTCCACTCTGCACCAACTCGTTGGCTTTGTCCACAGTGGACAGGAACATCACCACAGCACTATTCATACGCGAAGCAGACACAACATTATTGTACCCGACGACGCTCCCCGCCGCCAAACAGCACTCCTCCACACTCGCGCGGCACTCCACCTTAACACCATGCCGGCGAGACAGGCTTTCATACAGCCTGGGGCTTTGGGACGCCATGCTCCCAGCAAAACGCCGGTAACAGACGCCCCGCACACACCCCACCACACCTCACTCACACACACACACACACACTCACACACAAACTCACTCAAACAAACTACAGATACAGACGGACAACGACGCAACAACAGAGAAAAGAAGTTTGGCAAAACGCCAACCACGCTCACCGCGCTCCGCTCACTCTACCGCTCACACCCACGCATGCGCAGAGAGAGAGAGAGAGAGAAAGAGAAAAAGACAGGGAGAGACAGATATACAAGGAAAGAAAAAAGGAAATAAAGAGATAGAAAGAGTGAGAGGATGAGCGAGAGACAGAGAGATGAGAGAGAGTGAGAAAGAGGGAAAGGGAGACTGAGAAAAGAACACTGAGAAAGAGAGAGAGAGAGGGAGAGAGAGAGAGGCAGAAACTGAGAAGACAGGGAGAGAGATATACAAGAGAAAAGGAAATAAAGAGATAGAAAGAGTGAGAGGATGAGAGACAGACAAGAAAAGAGAGACAGAAAGGATGAGAGAGACAGAGAGAGAGAGAGACAGAGAAAGAAA